AAAAAAAAAAAAAGAAAGAAAAGAGGAACTGGGTCCACTGCTAGAGCCTATGCTGGTACTAGAGCCTGAGCTAGAAGTTGAACTGAACCGAGATCTGGGGCTGCTGCTTCCGCTGGAAGTGCTGCACCTCTTCCGGGTCTTATCGCTGCTGCGGTCCTTCTCACTAGACTCCTTGGTGGCGGCTTAGTGTTTACAGCAATGGTTGGACTTCTCATCAGAGTGGTCCTTTCGTTTGGTAGGAGAAGGAGCCCTGTTGCTGGACATTTTGTTATTTTCTTTGACTCCTGGCAAGCTCTTCTTTTTTCCTCCTGATATGTCCATTCTCCCCTTCTGAGGTGTTCAAAGCAGCAATGCCGGCCTCACTTATCTGAAATCTCACTTCTAGCTTGAGACTGAGAACCAATCCCCTGTGGATTGCAATTTAGGCCAAAGAGCAGCGTCCTCCCACCTCTGCTGCCTCCTCCTGCTCTTCTCAGCTCATGAGGCTCTTACTGCCACTTAAAAAAATTCTTTTTGTCTGTTTTGTGTTGCTACCATTGCAGAATAATTAACATCATGGCATTAATCGTAGTGTGTTTTTACTCTAGAGACCTTACTATATATTTGCTTTTTTCTGGATATCCAATGTGGTGTGATTTCTTCATTGCATGCTTGTATGTACCAATTCTTTCAACAATAATGTATAGATTCAAATTCCATACATCAAAATTTATTGATTATTAAAGTTGGTCTTTTAATTATTGATTCTTTTGCTATCTCTTTACTGTTGACTCATATTAGATTATAAGAAATTTCAGAAAGACACCTTTTGCTGAGCCTCTACAGCTTCCCTCCTGTTTTGACCTTTCTCTCTCTCTCTCTCTCTCTCTCTCTCTCTCTCTCTCTCTCTCTCTTTCTCTCTCTCTCTCTCTCCCTCTCCCTCATTTTTTCTGGAAGAACCGAGGATTGAACTCAGTTCCTTGTGCTTGCCAGGGAAGCGCTTATTTCACTGAGCCGTCTCCCCAGCCCCCAATCACATGGTTTCAAATTGCAAGTCGTCATGATGTGCTCAGCGGTACTCAGTGTGCAAGAGTCCCATGGACGGAGCCTGATGTCACTGCTCTAGGGTCTCCAGGCTTCTCATGGCATCCCTTGCTTGTGAGAGCATCTCACAGTATGGCTGCTCCTCACAGTGGGTTAAACACTTGGCCAATTTATGAGTATCAGTGGCTCAGGGCATCAAGTCTATAATATCTAGGCCTTCATACTTCATTTCCCACTCTTCCATGTCTGAAACAAACTGAGAACCTCTATAATTGTAAGGACTTAAGTTAACAGAGGTGTTTACCACCTAAATTAGATTGTGATACTTCAAAACATATTTCAAGACTTCTGGCTGTCCACCAACACTAAGATT